CTAGGAGAGGAGAGGGGGGGGGGCGGCGGCTAGGAGAGGAGAGGGGGGGCAGCCGGCTCTGATACCATATTGAAAATAGAGAGAAAACCCTAACTTTATTACTCCATAAGATGGGCTTATATAGGCCCTTACTACACAACTTACAAATAACACCCTATCTATTACTAATATGTCAACAAATCTTAAGCATGCTATTGACAGTGTTTCAATCTTGTAAAGGAAACTTTTATGACAGATTCATTTCTTTGGGAATTTTTTTCAAATCCAACTTAATTTCCCTATTTGCTTATAATGTGAATGGAGAAAAGAACTATCCAGTCGACCAAGTGTATGCATATATCCTTCCATTCATTTTAGTTGTTTGAATATTCTGTTCAACTTGGAAGTCAGGTTCCTTGTACTTTTGAAGGCATTTATTAACTTTGATGTAGAGATGCATCTGCTATAATTAATGTTTAAATTAGGCAGTGAATCGATATAACTATAAGGAATAGATAGCAAGGTACATTTGTTAGTCTAAGTGGTGTAGACCCAAAGCTGATTCAAAAAGAAGAAGAAACCAGTTCAGACGCTGACCAGTCGACCGACGGAGGAGGTCCGGTTGACCGCGAAACCTGTAGAAAACTGAGGAGAAAACTGCACTCTGGCCGGTCGACCAAAGTTTGGTGTCGGTTGACCGAGAGTGGTCATCGGTCGACCGAAGGTGATGGCCGGTCGACCGAAAACATGCACCATACCCTGTAATTATTTGACGCTCTATCCGGTCGACCGAAACTAAAGTCCGGTCGACCGCGACGGGATTTTCCAGTTTCCAAATCTGTTTTGGAATTCTCTTTGATCAGGGATCCTATATAAACTCTTATATGTTTCTAGGGTTTATTGCTAACGAAAAATAGAGATTTTTGACGGCTCTTTGAGATCCAATTTCTTAGAGAGAGAGGCCTATTGTGAGAATTGTAATCTTTTTCAATTAATCAAAGAATTGTGTGGTGTGGATCTCGAGGACGTAGGCATGTTGTCAAACCTCGTTAAATCTGGTGTGTTCTTTATTGTTTACTTTCCTACAAGTTTTTCTTTGATTTGTGGTGATTTTCCTACTTGCTCAACTCTCAAACACAAGATCCGGAAGGGCACGGATTCGATTTGATTGTTTCAAATCCCCAACAACTGGTATCAGAGCTTCGTTCAGCAAATTTGTGAAAGAGAGCCATGGCAGAGGAAAGCAAATCTAAGATCGAGAAGTTTGACAGTTCAGACTTCGCCTACTAGAAGTCACAGATGGAGGACTACCTGTATCAGAAGGACTTGTATCGTCCGTTGATGGACAAGACTAAGGGAAAGAAGAGAGAGGAGTCAAACGAGGATTGTGAGATACTGGATAGGAAGGCTCTAGGGCAAATCTGGTTGTCGCTCGTCAAGACAGTCACCCACAATATTTTGAAGGAGAAGACGACGGTGAGGCTTATGGAAGCGCTCGCGAAGATGTACGAGCAATCGTCCGCCGCAAACAAGGTGCATCTCGTCAAAACCCTCTTCAACCTCAAGTTGGCAGAAGGATGGTCCTTCATGATGCACCTTAGCGAGTTCAACATGTTTGTTGATCAGCTTATCTCCGTAGACATCACGTTCGATGATGAAGTGCAAGCCCTATTGTTACTATTGCAATTGTCGGATAGTTGAGCAAGTTGTGTGACAGCAATCAGTAATTCGGTGGGGAAGGACAAGTTGAAGCTGAGTGAGGTTATGAGCATGATTCTATCCGATGAGATTAGAAGAAAATCATCCGAATTAGAAGGTTCAGGTTCAGCCCTAAATCTCGAGCAGAGATGCCGAAGCCAGAAGAATGTTAACTAGAACAAGAATCAGTCAAAATCAAAGAAGAAGAGGTCGAACTCGAATGTTAGGCCTATCAAAGGGAAGTGTTAGAATTGAGGCCAGGAGGGCCATATGTCTTCAGCTTGTAAAGCACAAAAGAAGGATGTGAATGAGCAAGAGGCTCATCTCGTGCATGATGCCTTAATTCTAGCTATCGACAGCGATTCTGATTCTTGGGTCATCGACTCAGGAACCTCGTTCCACGCCACTACTAATAGGAAGCTTCTTCATAACTATGTAACAAGGGACTTTGATAAAGTATACTTGGGGATAACGAACCCTATAGTATTGTTGGAAGAGGAGATGTCATACAGTTAAAGGACTCTAAGTGGAATCTGAAGAACGTGAGGCACGTACCGAAGCTAAAGAGGAATCTTATTTCGATTGGCCAACTTAGAGCAGAAGGCTATGTTTCGATATTTACCGGGGATTCGTGGAGGATCTCAAACGGTACCATGGTTGTTGTCCGAGACAACAAAACAGGATCTCTCTACCTCACCTCACATGCGAGTGACGCCCTCGTAATTGCAGCTAGCAAAGAGAGTACGGATCTGTGGCATAATAGATTGGGACACATGAGCGATAAGGGGATGAAGATTCTATATTCACAGGGGAAGCTAATCGGCATCGATTTCGTGGAAGTTGGTGTTTGCGAGGACTGCATCTTTAGGAAGCAGAAGAGAGTTAGTTTTCAGAATGATGGAAGGTCATCTAAAGCTCAGAAGCTAGAATTAGTTCATACGAACGTATGTGGTCCGACGATCACTCGAGGAAGGTGTGGGTATACTTCATGAAGCACAAGTCAGAGGTGTTTGGGATCTTCAAGAAAAGGAAGGCCATGGTGGAGAACGAGACAGATCTGAAGGTGAAGTGTCTGAGAGCAGACAGCAAAGGAGAATACAAGTTGGAGGAGTTCAAGAGGTTTTATGATCTAAATGAGATTCGTTTGGAGAGGACTACTCCAGGGATGCCACAACAGAACGATGTCGCAGAGAGAATGAACAAGACACTGACGGAGCGTGCCAGGAGCATACGATTACATGCAGGTCTGCCTAAGATATTTTGGGCGAATGCGGTGCATACAGTAGCTTACTTGATTAATCATGGATCATCAGTTCCATGGGATTTTGGGATTCCAGAGGAGGTTTGGAGTGGCAAGAAGATCAATCTCTCACATTTGCTAGTATTTGGTTGTGTGGCATATGCTCATATCAGTAACCATGTCAGGGAGAAGCTTTAGGCTAAGTCACAGAAGTGCACATTCATTAGATACGGCATTGATAAGTTCGGGTATCGTCTTTGGGATGAAAAGAACATGAAAATCATCAGGAGTAGGAATGTGATATTCAATGAGGAGGTGATGTACAAAGACAAGGATAATGTCAAGGATAGCCAAAGTAGTGAGAGCAGCACTACGGATACAGGTAAATCCAAGTATATGGATTTAGAGGAACTTCCATATGGGGGCGACAAAGTCAATTCTGACAGAAGAACGGAGGAGACTCCAGGTGCTCTCGCGGTCGACCGACCAAAGATCCAGAATATGTACCAAGTCGTGCACGTTGCCGGTCGACCGCGCCAAAGCTCGCGGTCGACCAGAGAGCACCCAAATGTCTGTCAGCTCCAAAAATCCTGCTCTTCTCCAATTTCTTCACCAAATCTACAAAATCATAGTACACTTGTAGAGCATTTGTAAGTCAGTTTTAATAACCATTGAAAGGGTTGTGGTTAATTGCTGAAGCACCAGATACCAAAGATCTCAAAAAATGACACTAAACAAATATTGGATTGAGAAACTGCAAAAAACACAACATTTAACTTGGTTCAGAGCTGTGGAAACAATAGATTATCTTTCACAATTCAGAAGACAGATTATAGATTACCTAAGAGAACTTTGATATCCAAACCATCTATAGAAACCACTCACTCAGATAGATCTATGGATATATAGAGTTAAAACCCACAAGCAAAATTCCCCCAAAAGCCTGGTCATGTTCAGGTTAGTGCCTGTTGTCCAAAGAGTTTAACTTCTATTTCCTCTTCTCTGCAGAGCTCTCATACCATCAGCAATTGACCTGTTGAGGCCTGGCAAATGACTGTTGGAGTGTTTGAAGCC